GAAGTGGTGACGCAGAACTCTGTGTGTGTGGGAAGGCACAAACAGGATGCCTGTTTTTGCTGCTTCCTGATTCGGATATTCTCGATAACTTTCCCATTAAAATATCAGCGTCCAGCCTTTCTGAGAATAATGGCTCTTTGCTTAGAGATGCTCATCTGGTGCTTTCTGGAAGAAGCAGTTTTAAGAGCTCAGTTATAATGAGCGATGCTCTTGTGTGTTTTTATCAGATACCCGCTTCACCTTTTGAACTTCTGAAAGATGTAGAGCTGCATCACTGTATAATGGAGCCATAATGTCCTTAAAACCCATTCGCCATCTCGGCTGTTAGATCGGAAACATAAGAGCACCATTCAGATAGAAGTTGCACTCTGTCTTGTATCATTGATCCTGAGCTTCTACATTCCACATCTCCTGCTTAATTAAAAGCATATGTGAAGTGCTCATCCTTGGACTGAAGTTGTCTCACTCTTGCTCTTTTTCTGTCTCAGTATTTTGCTTTCACTCGTTCCTCACATTCGCATTCACACTCACCCTCGCTCTCTTGCTCCCTTGAGCAGAATGTTGATGTGGTGTCTGGTTTTTTTGCAGGTGCACTTAGAGTATCGATGAGGCTGGAACTGTACATGAATGAGTAGTAAGGGAACAGATTAAATCTTTTACTCTCTCTCATTCCTGCTAAACAAATCCTGCTACAAACAGTCTAAGCTGGTTTACTGGTCTCAATTCAATTGGCATTTAACTGGTTTGACCAGCTGAAAAGTGCCCAAAACCCTTTTGAGATCAGCCAACAGATCCATTTGGACCAGAAAACTAGCAGCATTGTATTGTTTTTTTTTCTCTCTCTCAATAGATGTGTTATTCTAAATCCGTTTGACCTGTAAATGACCTTTATATTCTATAATAAAAACTAATGAGGACTGAGGCTGTCAATGTCCAAAATTTAATAAAAACACCATAAAAGCATCATAAAATAGTCCATGTGACTCCTTCACTAGGCTATATTCAAATTTTCCAAAGTCCTATGATAGTTTTATGTGAGGAACTGCTCAAATTTGCGTTATCTACTGACAATTTGCCCCTCCTCCTTTGCTTTCAAATCTCACTTGTTTTCATGTATATTCAGTTAAAGAAAAACACCCTGATATTTCATTTCTGGATGTGAATTTGATTCGATTTGAGTGAATTTTAGTAATGGCTGAAGACCAGTGTTTGGCACAACATGCTCGGAGCAACTGCAACCTCTTATTGTTACTTAAATATGTTGCATTGGTGATGAATCATGCCAGTATTAGAGTTTCTCCACTGCATAAAGCTATTAAATGTCCACAATAAGGTACATTGACCACATTTTTAATCTTGATAGCCCTAATACACAGTTTAGAATTGCATAAAGGTGACTTTGATGACGAATTTTTGATTTTGGATGAAATTACTCTTTAATTTCTTTAATTTAAATGTTGCCTTGACCCCAAAGGGTTAGTTCACCCAAAAATTAGTCTGTCATTAAATGCTCAGCCTCTGAAAGCAGAAAGCTCCTTAATTTCATCAAAAATGAACTGAGATTTTACGGATTTGGAACGGCATGAGGATGAGTAATTAATGAAAGAAATATAATTTTTGGGTGAACTTACCCTTTAACAGTCATGGTTATCAGTCTATCATTTGTTTTACTTCACTGTAGAGTTCAAGGAGATCGAAAGGGTAAAAGACAGAGCCAGAGTAATAATGAAGTTGGAAGATGCAAATGCTTCAGCAGCAGGTTTTTGGTTTGTGACAGACAGCTGTACATGTCAGCACATGCAGTGCAGTAATGGGCATAGTTGTGTAATGTCTCTGTCACACTCAGGAATGATGAGCTCATACTGAGGGTTTTAAGGTGACAGAGGGCAAACTGTGTTTTCCTTAAACAGATTGTTCACCTAGGAATGGATATTGTCATCCTTTACTTACCCTCATGTAATTCCAGGCTTCATATACAGAACAAAAATTAAGATTTAAAAAATGTAAAATTTAAGATTTTCTATAAGTTTTTGTCCACCTATTTAAAGTGTTGGAAATGCTTTAAAAAGTACATAAAGACATTGTAAAAGTAAACTAGAAGATTTGGTTATGGTAAACAGAAGTGTCAAGCAGGCTTGTTTCCGCTTCGGTTTACAATATTTGATGTTCATGTTTGATGTCCATTGATCAATGTTTAAATTGTGTATAAAAGCTTAAAATAAATGTGTTTATCATATAAAGTAATCATGTCTATTTAAGGTTTGGCTTAAACAGCTTAATTCTCTTTTTGAAACGTGGAAATATTGACTTTAAAGTCGCTAGGAATTTTATATAATCTAAAACCCTGTCAATTCCTGCAAAATTGCCAACATCCAGTAGCAGTATTTCTTGTTTATATGGAAGCTTGTTTCCGCCACTGAATAAAAAAAAATTGCGACTTTTTATCTCACAATTGCGAGATATGAAGTCAGAATTGCAAGATATAAAGTCGCAATTGCGAGATATAAAATCGCAATTCTGAGAGATAAAGTCGCAATTGCGAGATATAAAGTTGCAATTCCGAGATATAGTCGCAATTCTAAGAAATAGTCGCAATTGTGAGAAAATAAGACTTAAACATTTTTTTAAAAAAAGGTAATTGCGACTTTTTATCTCACAATTCTGACTTTTTTCTCAATTTCGACTTTATATCATGCATTTCTGAACTTATAACAAAATTGCGACTATATCAATCAATTCTGACTTTATATTTCCCAATTCTGACTATATCTCGCAATTTTGACTTTACATTTCGCAATTTTGACTTTATATCACGCAATTTTGACTTTACATTTCACAATTCTGACTTTATATCACGCAATTCTGACTTTGTATGTATGTAAACTCGCAGTTGTGAGGAAAAAAAAGTCAGAATTGTGAGATAAAAAGTCGCTATTACCTTTTTTTATTTTTCATTCTGTGGTGGAAACAAGCTTCCATATGTTTATGAACACTAAAAAAAAATATTCAACTTAAAATGTGTTGGTGCTGCTTGAAAAGGGTTTAGTCAACTTGAAATGTGACAACTTGGGTATTTGAGTTGACTAAACTTAAAATTATGGATATAGGCTACATCACTATTAATCATAGTTTCAACCAGACTTTAAATCAATGGACAAAAAAGAGAATATTAAAAGTATACATTTAAAAAAATGAAGGTGTTCTGAAGATGAAGACTAATGTAATTGGTTTTGGAACAACACAATAACAGGATTTTAATTTATGGATGAACTATCTTTTTAAGCAAGGGGAAAAGGTTGTTTGCATGTGTGTGTTCAGAGAGGGAAGGGGAAAAGACTGCAATCCGATGGTCTGTGCTCTGAGATTTCCGCTGAACTCTGGGAGGGGTCAGGCGCCGGGCAAGGTCAGGGCTCTAAACAAACACACTCACACACATGCACGCATACAGCAGAGGGTCTATGACCAGTGTGACAGAGACCGATAACAGCAGAAGACGCCAGAGAGAATGAAAAGAACGGAGATGGAAAGACAGCCATGTGTGATTACTTTAAACCAACTGGCCTCTAAGGGATTTTTACTGAATGAATGAAGTCATTTCCCCTCAAGTTTACACAGCAAGCTAATCACAGGTGTAGTTCATCATATTGACTATGAATATATTTCACAGAAAGGTGTCATTGGAGGCTTTGAGTATGCAAAATTTCATTGTAGGCTTTGAGTATGCAAAATGTCTTCAAACACAGCAATAAATATCGACGGCATATGATGTCGCTCTCTTCTCTTCTCTTTTTTATCACAAATAAAAAAATACATTCAAAATTATAAAAATCTGTGCAGCCCGACAGCAACTTTGGCTCAATCAGTTCAGTGCTGTAGGTTTGGGATGGATCCGTTTGGGCGACCAATGGCAGAATGTTCAGTAAAACGGTCATCGTTTTTGCAGTTGGTGACACCAGCGTCGATTCAATTCCGATTCACAAGGTCCTTTCAATTTAATAACAGTCATTCGTTTTGGGAATCGGCCTGTGTAGTCTTCAATCAATATTGTGACTCTTCCAAAGAAGATACTTTGCAGTTTTAAAATCAGTATTTTTGCACAGAAGTCACATACTTCACCTTTTCAATAAACGGCTGTTGGTTTGATATTTTCTATCTAATGCAATGACATTTATGCATTTTAACTTCGGATTAGGCCAAGTATGTTTTAATATTTTGGGTTCACTCTGTCTTTGCATACATAACTTGAAAGGTAAACATGTTACAGACATATCAGAACTGCTAGTGCCAGTAACAACAAACGAAAAAAAAAAAGTGACACTAAAAAGGAGGAAGTGTTGGCATTGGTGAAGTGGGCGGAGCAATAAACGTAAAAAGGTGGAAGAAATGGTGTGTCCGTGTGGAGGAAGGACATGATATATCTGAAATGCATTTTGGGAGGGGGGCTAGAGAGTGTTTTGTGACCACATTGTCTTTAATTCTGTATTAGAGTAATTCCGATTCATTAGTCTGCTTTTTAATTAGATCATTTATACATTTCATTTATATTTTGTGCAGCGTACGGCTTCACGGATTAAGATAATTGACCCAGTCCCTACTATAGAAACACACACACACACACAAACACACTGAGGGTTGATCCATTTCCCCTGGGGCCCCGTTTCACTCCATCATAATCAGTGTCTCTTCTCAGACACACTGTCACACAAACACACACACACACGCACGCAGCACCGCTGCTGAGGCCTGGAACATTCCGCACATTCAGCTGTATGTGGGAACACTTAAAAATAAGTGCTACACACAAACACACACACATACTTTTTTATTAAACCATATGGAAAGAGATGAAACACTCAAGTTCATTGTGTAGAAGTGTCAAAGTCAGCTCATTATTTGTTTTGTAGTACACTTGTGGTGTTTTCTTATCATTTTGAGCTCTTAAAAATGCCTTTGTATGTGTGTTTTCTGGCCCAAATCTAAACTTTGCGTGTGTTTCTTAGGTGCTGATATGTTTTAAACATGAGTGGAGTGGGTGAGAACTCACTTGAGCCGTTGTGCTCAGACCGGAAGCGCAAACTCTCCACATGTGACACACCAGGACAAGGGTAAGACTTTTTTTATGGTGAACGGAAACATGCAACAAGCAATGTATGACGTGTTTGTTTTTTTCTCACTAAAATGGCATATGTGTGGATTTTATTGCAGATGTGATAAGCGCAGGAGGGAACAGGAGAGCAAGTATATAGAGGAGCTCGCTGAACTGATTTCAGCCAACCTTAGTGACATCGACAGCTTCAATGTCAAACCCGATAAATGTGCCATCCTTAAAGAGACAGTGCGCCAGATACGACAGATTAAAGAGCAAGGTACACATCTGCTCGAACTGCCCTTTTACATATCTGTCTGTAACCATATTGACTAAACCCACAGTGTGCGGAACCGGATGAATTTGCTCGGTTTTATAAAACGCTGCCACCTGGTGGCAAGTGGAATGTTGTGTTACTGCAGTCTGGTCTCAACATTGAGTGCATCTTCAACGGATAAAAAATAACAAACAATAAGTTTCTCTTTTAAATACATTGCAATCATGACCTGTGGATGTAAATGAATGGGAATGAGACTGCAAAATTTAGCAAATCAAATTTGACTAAAATCAATAAATCATTCTACATAAAGTTAAATAATTAACTTAATTACTATTTTTGTAAGATTTTGAGTATATTTTCTACAATGACAGCCCTGTTTTCATCCTTCTCTTAATTATATATTGCATTCAAAACAGTATTCTCCACAAGTCTGTTGCATGAGACAGGCCTATACATGCCTTTTTGCATATTATAGACTATATAACCCGGTGTTCACACAGCAAAACTATGAAAAGGCGTTGGTGTTCATTCTGCCTTATTTGATATTCATTCGGTTCATCTTGTTTTACAGGTTTTAAACATACAAATCTAAATATTAAAATAAACGGATCAAATGTCCTTTTTCAAACTGTTCTCTCGCTGTAATATTCTATACGTGAAAACATTTTTTGTGTGTTTTTGAAAGAAGTCTCTTGCCCTCACTAAGTCTGCAATTATTTCATTACAAACACAGTAAAAGCAGTCATATTGTGAGAGATTATTACTGTGGAAAATAACAGTTTTAGTTTTTAATACATTTCAAAGTGTAATGTATTCCATTTAGCATGATTACTCCAGTCTTCAGAGTCACATGATCCTTCGGAAACATTTTCATATTTCTTTGATTAATATAATTATTTTGTTGAAATATTTTTTAACTTTGTTATTGTCTTTACTATCACTTTTCATCAATTAATATCTGTCGAAAAATACATTTTATAAATATATACATTGCCATTTTTAAAGTTTGTTACAACTTTGTGTATTTTTCTCAATCATTTTTAATATGCGGTTTATAATCGCACGTCACACAGGTAAAAGCTCATGTGGCGATGATGATGTCCAGAAGGCGGATGTCTCCTCCACTGGTCCAGGAGTCATCGATAAGGACCATCTGGGCCCTCTGTTGCTACAGGTGAGATTAGAGACCTAAAGGTCAAGGGTCACCTGTAAAACATTTGCAATTATAATTTAGTGTATCCAAAGTTTCCAAAGGATTGGGAAATTATTAAAACAAGTTAAAAGTATTTAGGTTTATTTTTTTAATACATTCATAATGAATTAATAATATTGATTCTACATCTTTTTCTCTCATTCAGGCTCTGGATGGGTTTTTGTTCGTGGTGAGTCGTGAAGGCAGCATTGTGTTTGTGTCGGATAATGTGACTCAGTACCTGCAGTATAAACAGGAGGAGCTGATCAACACCAGCATCTACAACATACTGCATGAGGAAGACAGAGAAGAATTGCATAAAAACTTGCCCAAAAGCAATGGTAGGAATGCTACTGTATTAATCCAAACAATGTGTCAAGTGTTCATGAGTAAATTCATGATGCCACATGATTAAAGCAAACCATATCTTGTATGTATGTTAAGGTCCCAACAGTGTGTCGTGGGGTGTTGATGCTTCCCGTCAGAAGAGTCACACGTTTAACTGCCGTATGCTGGTGAAGTTCGGCCATGGTGGTCATGGTGGTCCTGGTGGTGAAGAAGGGTCCGGTGGGCCACGCTACGAGACTATGCAATGCTTCGCTCTCACGCAGCCTAAAGCAATGATGGAGGAAGGGGAAGGTCAGTTGTAAATGTATACATTTCAATACTTTTATTCTTCTTTTGCAGTGCAGTTTAAGTATAAGCAGTGTTTTCTTTCTGTTTTTCAGACCTGCAGTCGTGTATGATTTGTGTTGCACGAAGAGTGACAGCAGTGGAGAGGACAGAAAGATTCAGCACTAGACACGAACTAACAGGTAAAATTGATTTCCTCTGCAATACATAGACAAGGTGAAAATTCGTCATGCCAGTAATTTAATGATTTTAATTAAAATGACTCTCATTAAATACTGTTAATGAAAACATGATATAGCACTGCAGGATATTAAAAAGGTAATAAGTGTTTACAAATTTAAATTAGACAGAATTAATGTGAATATTGCAATTATGAACTGAAATGGAGGAGTAGCATTAAACTGAACTTGTAGGTTAATAAGCTTTTTTAAAAACACATACACGCACATATACTTGACCGTAACCGTGAATTTGATAATATATACATTTTTCAAATGTAGTCGTTTAAAAAGGCATCTGAAATAATAAACTAAGTGCAATGTTGTGTTTTTAAATATATAGTACTGAAAAATCTGATTTCCACAGAATAAATACACGAGCTGTGCTTTCTCATTCTCTCATCTCTCCGACGCTCTGGATGAATATTGTTGGTGTTACATGGCTTGAATTTTGTGCTCCCAAAATGCACACACATAAAGTCGCCTTTCAGTACTAAATTGAGTAAATATTTCGCTGCTTATTGCGCTTTTACAGTCAAATACACAATAATGTCAAATTACCAGTCTTGGTGAGTATTTATATAAACACAGTCAGTTATGTTTTAAGTGAGCGTAATTGTTGAGTAAGAAAACGCATGTGAAACAGTATAATGTATCTGTATGCCAGGTCTTAAAGGAGAACTCCGGTCAATTTTAACACTGAGCTCATTTTTTTTGTATGTGGAGTGCTGTCAGTACAGACAAAAACGGCAAAAATCGGTGTTGCCTACACCGTGTTATCCTCTTTTTAAAATTCACATCCTGTTGACTTCAATGGGGCAAGTTCTAGACCTGCTTTTAGCCTCTTAAAATCCTTGATTTGTCATTACAAGTGCACAGCCATGTGAGTGGTGTTATTAATAGTGACCACTGTCAATCTGACTGCAGTAGATGTGAAAGATATTAATAACAATTATGTTAATTCAGGCAGCTTACATACCTGAATTTACTTACTTTTTCGGTCGAAGTCCAAAGTAGTCGATCGTCGAGTTCGCGTGCGTGATCATTGGTAACTAAGCAACAGTGGAGACTCAGACTGTTAGCCAATGACGGTGCTGTGTGGTGTTCTAAGAATATCAGCTCAAATAGATAGTTCATCTGAATCAAATGTTGAACATAATTTAGTTACCAATGATTGCGGGCACAAACTCGACAATTCACTACTGTGGACTTCGACCGAAAACAGGAAGTAAATACAGGTATGTGAGCTGGCTGAATTAACATCATTTTTGTTAATATCTTTCACATCTACTGCAGTCAGATTGACCGTGGTCACTCTTAATAACACCACTCACATGGCTGTGCAATTGTTATGACAAATCAAGGATGTTAAGAGGCTGAAAGCAGGTTTAGAAATTGCCCCATTGAAGTCAACAGGGTGCGAATTTTAAAAAGAGATCAACACTAGTGAAGGCAACACCGATTTTTGTTGTTTTTGTCTGTACTGACAGCACTCCAAATGTACAAAAAAATGAGCTCAATGTTAAAATTGACCGGAGTTCTCCTTTAAAGTGACAGCAGCGTAATATACCTGCTGCCGAATTATGATATAATATTAAAATACATTTGACTACAGGTAAACTGATCGAGATCGAGCAGCAGAGCCTGTTGCACACCACCATGCGTCCTGGCTGGGAGGATTTAGTGCGCAGGTGTATGCAGATGTTCCTGCATCGCAGCGAGGGTCAGCCCTGGTCCTACAAGAGACACTATCAAGAAGGTATGTGGTAGTACACCTGCGTGCAAACCCTTTTCACATTTCTGGGGTTCTCAGAAGCGTCATAGCTGGTTAAGCTTCTGTATGTGGTGAATAGAAGCTACAACAAATATATTTGTTGCAATCCAAATTCAAAATGCTAGTGTCTCTATGATTTTTCTAAAATAAAATAAATTTTATTTATTTTATTATTTATTAAATTTATTTTATATATTATATAATAAATGTATAATATTATATTATTTATTTTATTATTTTATTTTATTATTTTATTAAATTTATTTATTAAATTTTATAAAATAAAATAAATTTTGAATTAATTTGATTAATTACTCACCCTGATGTCATTCCAACTCCTAAGACTTTCGTTCATCATCTGAACACAAGTGAAGGTCTTTTTGATGAAATCAGAGCTTTCTGTCCTTCCATTGACAGCTATGCAATTACCACTTTGAAAAAAACTAAATCCATATGAATTGAGCTGTTGACTCCAAACTTTCTGAAGAGACTTGATCGCTTTATATGATGAACAGATTTAATTTAGGCTTTTACTCATATATAAATAAGCATCATACATCAGTTGTGGTAAACAGAAGATACAAAGTATAGTGTAACACATGTACATAATATAAAACATTAAAAAAAAAAAAACCTTTAACTGCGGAAACGTCATCACAGTCCATTGCACAGTATGGTGTTTAAATTAGATAAATGACTCCATGTACTTTTGAGAAAAGATGTTGAAAGACAAAATGGAAGTGTGAATTCTGTAACTCGCTAACATACTGCTTTTGCATGAGGTGTGAAATTGGCAGATTGAGTACTTTTGTTATATTAATGATGTTTTTTCTCTTCTTCTTTTCAGCATTTGTTCATGGCAGAGCAGAGACTCCACTCTATCGGTTCTCTTTGTCAGATGGCACTCCAGTAACGGCACAAACACGTAGCGAGTTATGCCGAAACCCCATCACCAACGACCCGGTCACATTCCTCTCTACACATCTTCTGCAGAGGTTTGTCCAGCTCTGCCCAAAGCCAACATTTACACACTACTCTGATATTACATGACAATGCCTCTGTGCTGTCCTCGACCTCATCTCAATCTCTTTCACGCAGGGAGCAAAATGGATACCGACCCAACCAGGGTGGTGTAATGCGATCAGTTATGGGCAATGCAAATCCAAATGCCCAGATGAACATGGGCAATACCAGGGGCTACGGCATGAACGAGCAAGGTCACATGGGACCCAGAGGAGGACCTATGTATGGCCCAGGCCACAGGATGAATCAAATGAACCCGATGCATCAGATGAATCAAATGAACCAGATGAATCAAATGAATCAGATGAATCAAATGAACTCCATGAATCAGATGAACTCCATGAATCAGATGAACTCTATGAATCAGATGAACTCTATGAATCAGATAGGCCATCCTGGCATGAATCAGCACCAACAGGGTCAGTTTCATGGTGGTGGCTATGGAATGGGCATGACAAGTCCCTCACAAGGAAGCCCCGGTATGAATCCTACTCAACAGAACCTCATGGGGTCGCCACGGATTCGAGGGAGTCCTAAAATGGGTGCAAGTCCTTTCTCACCTGGAGGTATGTGTCCTGTTTTTGCAGTTTAGATTAAATGGTTGGAATATTAGGCCTGTGGGATCTAAAATAATTCCATAGAAAGCTCTGCTCAGTTCCACAGCATTCGAACACGTCATGTCTAAAGTTCCACATCTCAAGCACCTTGTGTATTCGTTTAATAAAGATATTTGCTAATTTGATCATGCTCTTACCTTGGGTGAGAAGTTTCAACTGGAGAATGACAAAGTCATTTTGAGAAAAAGGCATTTAAAGATTCGGAAAGTAGGGAATTTAATACATTTCTATCGGAAAACATTGCTCAAAAACAGAATAAATGCTCGGGCCCTTAGTAATAATAATAATAATATTTCAAGCTCATGAAAACTGATTATTTAATAACATGGCAGGCATATAAGGCCTACAACTGCAGTAACTCAATGAATTAACATGGGCAAGAGTACACCATGTGATGCGTCTAATCGCGAATCACGTTAGCTAAAACCAGCGGTTGCCAATGAGAATTCGTCATTGGCTTTAAATCACCCTTTGGACAGTTACTGATTACTGGTTACTGAAAGGAAATGCCCATATTTGGGTTGCACAGCGTTGTGTGGTAGATTCAGAGATTGGTTACTGGTTACTGAAAGGAAATGCCCATATTTGGGTTGCATAGTGTTGTGTGGGAGATTCAGAGCTTTACAACGATACTGGTCATGACATACTTCAGTAAGCAGATGGAACGCAGCATAACGCGTTGGAATGCTAACTTTTTGGTAAATTCGGGTGAAATTTACTGCCGCAAGTAAACAAAATGTAATAAAAAAAAACATCTAAATGTATATTTTCAACGTTTTTTTATAGTAGCTTGAAGGAACAAATATTGAAGGAGTAAACTAGCCCAAAATCTCAAAACTGATCACTGCATGAAAAATCAATGTTTTTCGCCTGCCGTGTCTCGCCCAAGCTTTGGCCTTCAGTGCTCCGTTAGAAAACAAACATCAAGATTTGACTCTAATTTCTTTATTTTTTTGATGTTGCAGGCATGCACTCTCCCATGGGTCCCGTGGGTATGGGCGGCAGTGGTGGATCTTCTGGTCCATCAGTTGGGAACACTTTCTCTAGCAGCTCATTGAATGCCCTCCAGGCCATAAGCGAAGGTGTTGGCTCTTCTCTACCTTCAGCTCTCAACTCGCCTGCCCACAAATCTGACAGCTCTCCCAGCATCAACTCGACCCAGTCCAGTCAGCAAGGCCAGACCGGCAACAACAAACCCAGCGCTTGTGACTCCAAGAGCCCGTCAAGTGCTCACAGCACAGGGTTGGATCAACAACAGGCTTCTTCATCAGAGACCACGGATAAGCCGGACAGTCAGTCCAACAAGGACGGTTCCACTGGGGCGGAAGTCAACCGGAGAGTCCCTGACGGAAAGGGCCACAAGAAATTACTTCAGTTGCTCACATCCCCAACTGAAGAGATTGGGATTGGGACTGCTACTGGTGGACCCGTCCCAGGCCGCGCCTCCACCCCAATGGGTGCCGACTCAAAGGAGGCAGGAAGCGGCATGATGAGTCCTTCGTCGACGGGGGTGTCCTCCTCCTCCGGTTCATCATCAGGGAATAACCTAAATCAGCAAGGCTCGGGAGGAGTGTCGTCCACGGCTTGTCCCAGTGGACACCACACTACTCACACCTTACAGGAAAAACACAAAATTCTTCACAAGCTTCTTCAAAATGGAAACACGCCAGATGAGGTAGCTCGCATCACAGCCGAGGCCACTGGTAAGGCCTCTCTCGGTTCGGAGCACCCAGGCGCTGAAGGGAGGAATCTGGACCTCAAACAGGAGCAGCACAGTCCGAAAGAAGGAAAAAAGCCCCAAGCCCTTCTTCACTACCTCCTCAATAAGGATGACTCCAAAGACCCCAATGCCACTGAGGTCAAGCCAAAGCTGGAGGAGCTGGAAGGGCGAGGGGCCACTGGAGGGCATGGGTCAGGGGTCACAACCTCCAACTCTAACAACCAGGAGGGCAAAGTCAAGATCGAACCACCCGACGAGGTATTTGTGGTTGATTTATATTTTGGAATTTATTTAATAAAAAATATTTAATTGATATATTTATTGAATTTTAGTTTTGTATTCAACAAAGAATCCTGAAAAACAATGCATTGCACTTTCCACAAAAATATTAAGTCGCATAAGCTGAAAATTCGGCTTTTCCATGACAGGAATAAATTGCACTTTTGCATTAAATTAGAAAACAGATCATTTAAATTTTAATAATATCTTTTTTTTATGAGCATAAGAGACACTTTAATTTGCATATATCGATCTATTGTTCATTTTTAGTTAATAAATATATTATATTCTAATTAATATTTAAAAAACTTTCGTCATTACTTAAAAATTAGGGGTTTTGGAATATCTTTCCACAATATGAATTTTTTTTTATTTTTTTAAGTTACTAAATTGTTTTATTGTTTTATTTTTAAGTTACTAAATTGTTTTATTGAAATGCAAAACTGGGATCTAATTCAGATTTATTTGTTTATTATTCTAAAATCCATCATTTTGTTTTGTTTTTCCAGCTGGATAACTTAGAGAGTATTCTTGGAGGGCTGAGGAATTCTGGTTCTGGAATGTTTGCTGATTCTGGAAGCGGAGGGATGGAAGGGGGCAATAAGCAAGGCAATGGACCTAACAGCACCGCACATGGTGAGTCACAAAACCTCGAGGGCCTCAAAGCCAGGAGGGGATGTTGAAAATTTAATCTGACTAGATGACAACATGTAAACTTGTAAAAAAACAGAAAATGAACTGGACAAATATTTTAAAGGTAACTGCAGATGACCACGTAGATTACCAAAACTGCTCCCCATTGTGTTTATTCTTTGTGGAATTGTATGCATTATTGTTGTGTGTTCCAGACCGGGAAGTTATTGGTATGGGCTCTGGTCAACGTGTGCCCTTCCAGAGGGCAGTGTCCGTCGATGGTAAACCTTTGAGCGGGCCGGGCATGACGGGTAGGAGGAGCGCCCCTTCCTCTCTTGTCAAACAGGAGCACACTGACAACCAGATGGGCTTGGGTGAGTCTCATATTTTCACTGTGACTGTAAAACCGTCCATACATTCATTCTATAGCTGGATTTTTAACATATCCACCATTTTGTTCCCAGGAGGTCCAAATAGGCCAATGGGAATGCCCAATCGTCCCCCTATGGCAGGTGCAGGAGATTGGGGAATGCCTGGTTCCACCGGCAGCCCTGTCGGACACCCTGGCATGGGTCGTGCAGGTATGGACCACAATCCTAAGAGCATGATGGGAGGACCCATGGTTAACCGATCTAACAGCGTTCCCGCAACCAGATCCATGTTGCAACAGCAGTTGATGGATATGGGTAAGTGGCAAGTGCTGGTAATTCAGAATAACTAAAAACCAGTAAAACAGTTTTTTCTTTTAAATGGCATGATGTTGTTTTTGCAGGGTCTTATGATGTCGGAATGGGTATAAATTCGTTCAGAGGGCAGGGACCTCCACCACAGTCCCCTTCATGGCCGGACGGTGGGATGGGAATGGAGGGACCACAGAATGCAAACAGGTCAATTAAATTATTACACTAGATCTACAGTTTTAGATCATTTGCCTGCTTTTATTGATGGAAAATGCTTAAAATTAGGGTAGACTTATTCACTGAAATGAATAAATGAGGCATTGATATAGCACTTTTGAAATCGACCATATCCTCGCATCCAATCAAACATTTTCTCCCCAAAGCCCTTTCAAATTGACAGGTTTCATGTTATATATATATATATATATATATATATATATACATAAATTCAATTCTAAATAAAAAAATAAATAATAATATATAAATGTTTTATTTATATATATATATACATAGTTGTAATGTTATAATATATAATATAAATATATTATAAATATATATTATACTTGATTATTATGTACAGTGTGTGTATGTATACATGTGTGTGTATATATATATATATATATATATATATATTACATTTAAATGTTAGATTTATTATTTTAAGGATTTAAAACTAAACAAAAAATGTATTTATATATATATATATATAATTTTATAAATGTACATGTCAAATAAGATTTGCATTAAGTTAATATAAAATAAATGTATAGAATTTCCCCTTTTTTAAGCACAACATTTTGTTAGATTTATTCTTAAAACCAAAAAAAGTGCTTAATTCAAGATATATTTTCTGAAAACAAGTGTGTTCATCTTATTACTTCTTAAGTAAATTTATTTTGTTTTAATGATTTTTAGATAGCGCCAAAAGTCAATAGCGTCCTCTTTGCTCTCTGCTTTTTATGAATCAGGCTGCCTTTTAATAACTCTCTGGATGATCTTCTGGTGCCTCCATCCACCACTGAGGGTCAGAGTGATGAGCGAGCTCTGCTGGACCAGCTGGACTCTCTACTCAACAACACTGACGTCATTGCTCTGGAGGAGATCGACCGTGCCCTTGGCATACCGGATCTCATCAACCAGGTACTCAGCCAACCTGCTTCATGGAACAGATGTGTTCTCTTTCTGTAACGCTGTGGTGTTAGAGCAACTGTCCAGTCACATTCCCTGAAAAAAAAAATGTCTTTCTCTTTTCTCCCTTTAGGGTCATAGTTCAGACCAGACCCCTCCGACAGACCCCTTCAATGGTCCTTGTCCGGGGCCTGACTCGTCTATGGGTATGGAGCCCAAGGGAATGTATGGGCAGGGCTACCCAGGCCCCCCATCCATGGGGATGCAGGGCGGATATGGCCCTGGTCCCAACCCTGGACCCGGCCCTGGACCTGGTCCCCAGTCTGGACCAGGGTTTAACCCCATGATGAGTCAGATGAGCCAGCAGGGTGGTTTTCCCGGAATGGGTGGAATGGGCGCTATGCATCCCCGTGCGAACATGATGAGACCTCGGATGGTGAACACGACGAAGCCGCTCAGACTACAGCTCCAGCAGAGACTGCAGGGGCAGCAGGTGAGCAGTTATAATATTTTGTGTAATGTAGTGCTGGGATTACTAATTAATAATAATTAATGGCAGAAAATTATCATAATTTAGTCTGATCTTTTTGCTATGACAGAAAACTGGGACATTTACTTGGAATGTTTTTACATATCTACATTAAAAACATTATGAAATATATATATAGCTTAAACACATATGGAAGAATATTAATGGCAAAAATATCTTTATAAAATTAACTTTGGAATTGGAATAAGCATATTAAAAGAGGACTACAGTTGACAATTTTTGTATATTTAAGCCATGTACATTTGAATTAAATTGTACACACAATAATGTCATTTTACAAAATTCAGTAATACATATTTGCAAAAATTGCAATATAAAATATTTCCATATGTTTCCATATGTTAAAATATTTTCCATATTTCCAATATGTTCTGTAAAATTTTTACTTTACAAAATTGGCTTCTCAATTTCAAGCACAATCTGAGAAATGCAGAGAAACCAGTGCTTTTGACATTAATATACATCCAGAACTGAACATCCAAAACAGCAAGAGTGTGATAAAATGTTGCTGTTGTCGATAAACTTGAGATACTTGGAGTGTGGGAATCATAAATAAACCATAATTTAAACTTGAACACGGGTAATGACATTGATTTTATTATTTTATCCTTCCAGGAGATTAACTCATAATCAGAATAGTTGCAAGTGTCAGCCCTGGTGTAATGTATGGTGTTACTTGATGAAATCTCATAACATCTGGATGTGTCTTTGCTGCAGTTTTTGAACCAGAGCAGGCAGGGCATGGTGATGCGGCCAGATAACAACCCGCCCGGAAACCCTGGCATGAGACCTAGCATGCAGCCGGGCATGGGTGGACAGGTACTTTTTTCTTCCTTTAATGAAATCTGAATGTTCATTTTCTCTCTCTAATATCACCCTTCCTCATCTTTCAGCCTGGTTTTCTGAATGCTCAGATGATGGCCCAGCGCAGCAGAGAAATGATGAATCTTCAAACAGAGGTATAAACAGACCGTTTTCAAAATATGCGTTTGTGTTTGTCACATATCATACTCGACCCCCAATGGCAATTTATGCAGTGTAACTGAAGTATATAATTTTATATAAGATTTTTACGATTGTTTTCTGCAGATGAGAAGACAGAGGATGATGATGATGATGCAGCAACAACAGCAGCATCAACAGCAACAGGTCGCAGCCGGAGGCTTCAGTCCCCCTCCTAATGTCACCGCTCCCACAGGAATGGACAGCCCAATGGGAGGACCCCCAATGAACCAGCCCGGCCAGCAGGCATTTAACTATGGAGGCAACTATGGTAGGATAGTTATCATATTGGGATCTCATTGCTTAAAGTAATCATGAAATGATGGGGACAGTGTGTATCAATTGCACATAATGCACAATGCACTTTCTTCTTGCTTTCTTGTAATTGTCTGTGTTGTGATTGCAGGGATGGGCCAGCAGGGGGACCCTTCATTTGTGACAACAGGCAGCAGTCCCCCTAACAATATGATGTCTGGTCGTATGGGTGGCCCTCAGAATCCCATGATGCAACAGCACCCACAGAGCAATCCCATGTACCAGTCCGCAGAGATGAAAGGCTGGGGACAGGGGCCCATGTCCATGAATAAGTAAGTTCTAAACATAAAATCACACTTAACGGCCCTTTCACAGCAAGGATGACAAAGATATAGTTAAAGAAATGGTAAAAGAATGGCAGAAACAATATTTTCTTTCAGCTGATGAACAATAAAAACATAGACAGCCAATCAGAATTCTTCCTGCTTTAAAGAGCTTCAGTATTTAAAGCAGAAGACGACATAATTGTGTTTAGAAAAATAGAACAAAATCATATGGATGCTAATGTTATTATTATAGTTATTGTTATGCGATGCGGCTGCGAAACGACCGGAAGCGAAACGACCGAAAAATACCCCCCCCCCCCCCCCCCCAAACAAAAAAAAAAAAGATTATAAATGGATAGACAAAACGAAGTGATATAACATTTATAATAAATAAAAATTAGGATCACATCCGAGTCCTCTGTGCCCACATTTGTCCACAATTACAGGATTAAGGGCTATGAAGTGAATTTGGTTTGAGGGCTAAGTCTTGAAAATGTTATGGAAATTATTATAGTTATAAAAGTAAAAATCAATACAAATAAAGATATAAATATTTGTCGTTTTAATATTTTATTTTTTAGATATTATATTATTGTTTTATATAATATTTATTATTATATATAAATAAGATTTTCTAGTTGTGCTCAGTTCTAAAATAATATTTAACCAGCTAGAAATGCTATGAAATTATTTTTGAAAATCTTAGAAATGTATTGACCAAAAGCAGGGTCGTTATCGTTAACTAAAACTGAAATAAAAATAAATTAAAACAACAAAAAAGATATTTGAAGAAAATAAAACTAATGAAAATGACAAAAGCACACAACTAAATTATTAATAAATATTATTATAGAATTTAAATAGTACTAAAACAATGCTTATGTGGTACACTGTGCTAAATAAATGAAAAACTGGTCATACTTTACAATAAGATTTGTTAACTACATGAACTAATAATGCATTTATACACACATACAGCTTTTATTAATCTTTGTTAATGTTAATTTCAACATTTACTAGTACTAGTAACTAGAACTTACAATAAACAGCTGTATTTAACTAATATTAAAAAGATTAACTAACATTTGTTGCTGTATTTGTTAATATTATTTACAAGTAATACATTTAACTTATTTTAAAGTGTTACCGAACAACTTTTCAGGCAATTAATTGAACCTGAACAATCAAACATAAATGCATGGTCTTTAATGTAGTTAAGTGGTTGCACTTCATTTGACATTATGTGTACTTGCATACTGGGTAATATAAGGTAACTACATGGGTTAGGAGTAGGGTCAGAGTTAGTTACCCAGTTAATTACGGCAAAAGTTCATTGTATGTGCATGGGGAACAGGACTGTAAAATAAAGTGCTACCAGTTAAGCCTTAAGAGCGTATTTAAATCGTTCTCCTGTTTTTTCCGTATCCTAGTTCATACTCCCAGCAGCAGCAATATCCCCAGCAGGGGGCGCCGGGACAGTACGGGGGAATGATGATGAACGGGTCCATGCAGGGAGGTGTAAATGGCAACGGTGCTGGGCAGATGCCCCAAATGCAGGGCCAGATGGGCATGAGTGCCATGGGCATGGGACGCATGCCGATGGGACCCGATCAGGTACAGACCCGCGTTGATTCGCTTACGTACGCATGACTGCATTAAAACACGTTACCTTTACTTACCTGTGCGTGTATAATGTGTTCTACAGAAGTACTGCTGAGGCGACGAGCCATCTCTGTCAAAGCTGGAGTCTAACTCGGACTCGCACATCAGTCCACTGAGGAAATGTCAACATCTGCCTCGTAGAGGAGAAATCGCTAGAACTCTTCAGTGAACACTTGACTGAGGGAGAGAGGGATAAAGAGAGAAAGAGAGAGATTCAAGCCTTCTCTGTGGCGGTTTTTGGGGAATATGGCTCTCTCAGAAGGCTCTCTCTCTCCTGTCCCACGTGGCTGTACTGCAGTACACAACATAACCACCAGGGGGAGCAGAGTAGGAACGGTTGTGGTACAACTCGACAGTGTGGGGAGCACTTTATTTTAAGGCTAGTACGGAAAAGGATGGTTGCAATATATTTCTTTGCTTTTCTAGCCTTATAGAACGATTATGTGCATATTGTCTTTTGAATGAAAACCGTGGGAATTGTAAGAACCAGAACTTCATCACTTACGCATATCAAAGCAATAAACCTCCTCTCAATACACCCAAGTGGTGTCAACAAAAAGCAAAAGGTACTGCAGTATTAGACAGGATTTTTCTTTTTTTGTGTGTGAATAAGATTGGAATTGTAAATACTGTATGCTACATATGTATCATACATGCTTTTACTACATACTTTTTTTTTGCACAGAGTTTGGGCCCGGTTAGGTCCATCTTATCTATATTTTAGGTCAATACTGCTCTGGGTTTTACATCTATTCTAACTTTTATCAAAGGGAGAAAATATTTTATTTTTTATCTTTTCCAGCACAGCCTATTTTTCTCTTTTTTTTTTTTCCAACAATGAGCGCCATTATGTTTGGATGGCACTTTTTTTATCGCAGAAATGTTGTGCAGTGATGGTTTCATCATTTTATTTTCATTTCCATTCGTTCTTCTGACCGAAAAAAAAAAAAAAAAAACAACGAAACAAAAACAATGGTGCGAGTTTTCAGATGATACGCAAAGCTTGATGTTGCTCTTTAAGCTAGCTCTTATTAAACTCACTTTCTCACTGTCGGTTCTTCAGAAATCTACCTTTTAAGAAACATGCACAATCCAAAGATATTTTTTCAGTCTTTTCTTTTTCTGTTTCCTCAAGTTTGATTTCAGAAATGTATCCATTTATATGTTTTTTGCGCAAAAGCGCGGAGTAAAAGGTACATATCATATGAACATATTACTACATATTATGATTTTGTACTATATACTGTATACATACAAAACCAAGTATACCTGTTTATTTTTGAGGCCAGTTCATATTTTAGCAGTATTGTCTGTGCTTTTGGGGGGATTTCTCTATCATGTGGTTTATTTGCTCTTCAGTTTGTAAGATTTGAATGATTTTGAATTATCTACAGAACTGCCAAGGCAAATTGTAACTACACACCTTGTTTTAAAACCTTTCTTAAACCACTTTTAAGAGGTTCGCCGTGTGCTTTTTAAAAGTACAAGTAATAAGGACTCTGTTCTGTCAGACGCTCATTCGTGTATCTCTGTGTTGCAGTGATCCTCGGCCGCTTCATTAGTCAAATCTTTACCTTCAGTGACTTGCTGATTCTCAGATGCGGGGATGAAATTCAATGGGGAAACTAATAATAAGTCAGTCTCGTCAGTCTTTTAAGGAAAGCGACGCTATCATTTGTGTTCATTTCGCTAGATTACTGTTGATTGTGACAAAGTATATTTTGAAATGATAATTCCGGGAAATCTAGGTTATTCTGGTGTGTTTTCAGAACTGGTTGACGGAGGGGTGTGAACATGGAAGATAAGCTCACATTTTACAGGATGTAAATTGCATTACACTTAATTATTTTGCTTGATGTTGATATTGTTGTAAATAAAAGTTCTATTTAAACGTGACATGTATGTTCTGCAGTTTGTGTGTACCTTTTTTTATTTTGATGACAAATTTGTACTGAGAAGTGAGATAAATCTGACAAGAGCTCCTTTTGAGGACACTTCTACTTTGAGGACATTTATAAATAAAGGTGTTGGGGGTTATTTTAATTGTCAAAATTGCATTGTTTTTTAATAATAAGCTTTATATTAAAACAATACAAGTGTATGGAATGACCTCATTTAAATAGCTGTGCGTGTTTGCTCGTGCTCCTGCCACATTTTTTTTTTTTTTTTTTTGGTCCCCATGAGAAACTACTATAAATTATACCAAATTATGTTTTTGGAAAATGTAAATATGCTGAATGTTTCCTGTAAATGGTAGGTTTAGGTGTATGGGATATAATGTACAGTTTGTACAGTATAAAAACATGGTCTATAGAAAGTTCCAGACCGAAACCCAATGTGTGCATTTGTGGTTCCTGGTAAACCCTACATAATGGGGACAAAATGTATCCCAAAAGATGGCAATTTTTAAAATCCTTGTCCTCAGGGGATAAAATAGAAAGAAAAATAAGTTTTTTTGATGAAAACATTCATGGATTTTCTCCATATAATGGACTTCATTGGGAACCAAACGGTTCAAGGTCCAAATGAGAGTTTCAGTGCAGCTTCAAAGAGCTTTAAATGATACCAGACGATGAATAAGGGTCTTATCTAGGACCCTTCGGGTCATGACTCGAAAAAAGAGTTTGAACGGGAGAGTCACGAACGCTCACCACAGAACAAAGCAAGGCAAGCATTTGTGATTATAAAACTTAAACTTTTTTTTTTTTTTAAATGACCGATCATTTCGCTAAATAAGACCCTTAATTATCGTCTGGTGTTGTTAAAAGCCCTTTGAAGCTGCACTGAAACTCTCTTTTGGACCTTGAACCATTTGGTTCCCATTGAAGTCCATTATATGGTGAAAATCCTGGAATGTTTTCATCAAAAATTTCTTTTCGACTGAAGAAAGAAAGGCATGGACGTCTTGGATGACATGGGGGTGAGTAAATTATCAGCAAAAGTTTTTTTTTTTTTTTTTTTTTTTAAGTGAACTACTCCTTTAAAATAAAGAAAATAATACCAGAAATTTCATAAATAATATCATACCAAATTATGTTTTTATATATGTACAAATCTAGGACGTTTTCTGTGAGGGTGGTGTTTAGGGAACGTGTTAGGGGACCGAATACACAGTATTGCACAGTATAAAATCCAGTTATGGAAAGTCACCATTAAAGATTGAAACCCAATGTCTGTGAGTCTCTTTTCGGTTAAAATAAAGTTCACCATGTTACCACTGAGGGGCGCTAGAAGCTCAAATGTCCCGCCTCAACTACAAAACAAAATTTATTCTTGAAAAGGGATTGTCTTATTAATAGTCTTGAAGCGTTAAATATCATTCAATGAAAACAATGAGCATTAGGATTTTCTAAAAATGTATCTGGCCTCATCACTTTTACGTCTGTCAGAGAAGATCCAATACTTGCATGCATGGGCTAAATGCCCCTTAATTAACATTAATTTGGTTTAATTAGTGGTGGTGGTAGGGTTACTTTTTTAGCTATAATTAATTTAAATATCTCGCACTGGCCTGAAAACAACGTGTCCTTAAGTCAAAGCGCGTGCTGTTAAGTTGATGTTCCAGTGGAAAAGTTGGCTGTATAATGTGTGGCGCTATGTTTAAATGCGCTAAGTTCTTATTAAAAGAAGCTTTCGTTGTAGTATGTGGGAAACTATACAGAGGGAGTGAGAGTTCCTTGGCCGTGTTCCCGGCCCATCTGCAGCCCGGGCTTGCGGATTACTGTTTGTTAATGTTTCAATCAGCTGTGTGCCGAGGAATGTGGAGCGATTTAACCTGAACTTCCCCAGGTGTGCGGCGGCGCCGCTCAGTCTGCGCCCTCCCCTGCCCTTGGCACAAAGCGATCACACAAACACAATCACACACACCGGCCGATCCGAGCAGAGGCCTGCAGCTGCGAGCATCACACCGCAGGGAAATGAGAAAAACATTGCACCAGGGAGACGGAATAAATCTTATAACGAACTGCCTTCTTCTCGGAAAACACTTAACCCTTCCGCTACCCGTGCTTACATACTGGGATGCGTAAAAAGAAGCGGAATCACAGACTTTAAAAAAAGTTTGACAATAGCGCTATAGCTAAAAATAACTTGAATAATGAATGAAGCAATCCTTAACCAATTAAAATGCTTTATTAATTAGCCTATACATACGTTTAAATTATTTCATTTTTTTCCAAAGGAAAGATTATAAAGTTCCCTCTCTTTATTGGCCTACTTTTCTATTTATTTTACCTTTTGTTGATGTAATTTATCAGATATAGGGCCCTTATCTTATATAGCTGAATTTGTTTTTCATTATTTACATTTTCAAACTGATGAAGCCACTAAAATGGCTGTTTTTATGTTTCATTTACTCAGTTAAAATCTGGAATGATAAGTTCACTTTCAGTTTAGCTACTGACAAAGTACTTCAAGTTGAAATTGAGAACTCAATTTAATTGTAATGACCTAAATTGTGTAACAATTATGTCGTAACATGAAGAAAACATGTTACAGCAAACGGTTTAATGTGTTAACAGGCTAAATGACCTTTAACCTTATGAAACCAACTCATTTTAAAATGGCAGTAAAACTGACCAACTCTTTTAAAAAAAATTGGGGAACTCAATTCAGTCCAACTTTCATTCACTCCCACGTACAAAACAGATCAAACAAGTCCAAAATAAGTCTCATTTTCTTGTTTTAATAATAAAAAAACAATATACATTGTAAAAAACACAATAAGGCATTCGCATCATATGTCATTGTAATATACAATACATTCTTTCGCTCAGTAATCTGAGAAGACATTTACAGCAAAATAGAAGATTTTCTAAAGACTTAAGAAAACATTGGAGAAACTTTGACCGAGAGGGAAATGCATGAACTATAAGTGAATAATCGCCATGGATTCCACAGCTTTAACACACACAATCGGTGTGTTTGGGAAGACCTCAGAGAGCACGTCAAACTTCTCAATGTCCACGGGGTTTTGTGGCTCTCTGCTGAAAGTTGTTTTCCTCTACAACAGGAGAATGAGAGTCTCTCCCAACACAGTTCAATGCGTCACGGCGGTTCTGGTCCATCATCATCATCATCTTCATCATCACCTCAGCGCACCTTGTTCGATCCACGCGATGCTTCGATCAGTTAATGTGAAACCGAGAGCATTAGCTTTAACGGCACATGATTCGGTCGTCTGAACAGCCGTTCTGCAAGACAAGAAGGTAAACATCATTAGTTGAGTCATTTACACAGACATTGTTATTGAATGGAACATTTAATTGAGCAGAGAGCATCATAGATGGCCTGTTTACCTCGACAGAGATGCTGGCCAGTTCCGCGTTGAGCGTCGTGAGGGGAGTGCGGGGAGCGGAGCTCTGGTTCTTCTTGCTGTCCAGCTCGACCTGCAAGTCCCAGATGTAATCAATAACGTGCTGCAGGATCTCCACCTTGCTGGCTTTCTTGTTGGTCGGCAGCGTGGGCACCAGCTCTTTCAGTTTGCTGTAGCAGCTGTTCATGTCCTGCAGAAACATGGTCATTTGCTCGTCCAGCAGCGGGATCTTGCATTTGGTGATAGCCAGGCTCTGGTCGGAGAGGCAGCGGACAACATCTTCGCCGCTCTTCAGCGCGCAGGTAGGTCCCACAACTTTCATTTTGGCTGTAAAAGTTGACGATTAAGTCAAAGAGATTGAGTTGAAGCGATGTGCTCGTACTCCTTTTGGGTCTTGAGTCGTCGAGAGTGCGATGACAGTTCACCACATGCTAACAGTGTCGAGTTGTTGGGTATTTAAAGGATTGTGGGCGTCCCCAAACGCTCGTGTTTTCAGGCGTGGGCCAATAGGATTTCACCGGAGTCGCGCGCGGAGCCAATCACGGCGCGGCTCTGTTATCGCAGATACAATATGCTTGGGGGATGGTGTTACAAATGGAAACAAATGTGTGTCTTCTGTGGATATCCAGCTGTCCGTACTCTCCACAGGTGAAGCAGGCACAGATCAAGCGGAGGGAGGGGGTGCTCGAGGATCAACAGGCAACAGTTATTACTTTCCAATGAAACAAATTTCTTCGTATGTGGGCTGCGTCAAGAAACAAAGCACACTGTAGGCTAAAATGTTTCATCAGCATCTTTGTTTCCATCCATTAACATTTGTCACAATAATTGCTGTCATTGTACTGCGCTAGATGTGATCCCTGAACACACATGTACATGATCATAATGCAAACATATTGTTTCAAACGTATTTAAGTAGGCCACACACACAAATCGTGTTAATAAAAATATTATGAGTTTTTATAATAAAACTTTAAAAAAAAATCAATGTCAGTCACAATGTATACTGTTTTCTCGTCACATAACAATAAAATGACTTTTGGTTTTGCCACACTGATTTTTTATTTGGCTGACAAAGTTTTTAAAATGGGCTATTCATAGTAGGCTATTTAAAAACAAAACTGCCCTTTTAAAGGAATGGGCCTATGTCAAAACTACTCATGCTAACATGTTGCTTTACAAGAATTTCAGAGCAGCAGTGAAACCAAACTTTCAACTGTTCCAACTTTTTTTCACAGTGCAGTTTTAAGTCATAAAAGTTATAGATTAATAAAAAAGTTGCTTAATATCAAATAGACTGGGATTATTTGTTTTGTGGTTTGAATAAAATCTGATAAAATCGTGATTTAACAGGGCATGATATGGATTCAGTGTGTTTTAATACATAATGCATTTATTGTGATCTGTTGCTAGAGGTTGACATTGTATACATTTTCGTCAGCATTAGACTAATTTCGTTCAGTAGCATATCAAGTAGCTTATTTTGTATTGTAGATAAACTATGCACAGTCCATTATCCTACAGTAAGTGCAGATAGATTGTAGATAGTGGCGAGGTTTATCCTATTGTGCAGCCGAGTCTT